AAACCATTTCGATCCCTACCAATCTATACTAATATATATTTTGAAAGCCGTTTTTTTTATGTTCGCAAAGCTCGAGAACGGCCCTACAGATTTTTTTGAAATTTCGGACACCTACCTCAGACGTCCCAATGATGGTTATAGGCTAAAAAGAAATCGCTATTTTTTTATTTGGCGTGGCACCTCCCATACAAAGTCCATGTATATTGGATTTCTGTAGAACAATTATACGCATCCATTTTGAAGTTGCCACCAACTATACTATAAAGTTTCTGGGGCAGATTCACTATAGAACCGGATCACTGTTGCCGCCAGGGAGTGAAGAGGAAATGTTCTTCAAATTAATTTCGTTGTGAGATTAACCGTTCTATGAAACGCTGCACAATTAGAGAATTTTAAGAACTTCTTCACGGACATAACACTTTCGTTAGGTTATTTAAGGCGGCAAAAGACCACCAGACCATAATATTAGCCGATGAGCGTGCCAATGGAAATCGTATACGTGAATTGTTGGTGAAAATGTTGGACCAAAATGTTTCAATGATAAAATTAAGCTTGGGCGGAACGAAGTTTGCCGGGTCTGCTAGTATTATAATATTTTATTTAAACTAATTGAATTTAATTTAAAAAATGTGGCAACCCTTGTGGAACACTTCAATATTATTCAAAACTTTCAAACTAAAAGTTTCTTATCAATATTTCTTTTGACAGCCATATTTTAATTCTTCAGATAAATTTAAATTTGACTTTTCAAACAGGTGGCAACCCTTTTCAAGATACATTCAAACTACAGCTTTTTTAAGCCTCTTGACATCCATTTTTATTAATATAATTTTCAAATAAATAACTCCCTTAATTGAAGTTGAATTTGATTTTTTGTAAAAGGTGGCAGCCCTTATCCATGAGTAGATAATGATTTTATATATCTCCATACTAATTAATGTACCAAAAATATTTCCTGAGAAATGCAGTATGAACAACTCCGTTTGTATGGGAGGTGCCACGCCCCCTTTTCTAATCGAGATTAAATGTATTCTATATTTTAAGTTGGGCTAAATGACAGGAGTGTACAAAATTTCATGATAATCGGTTGAGTAGTTAAAGTGTGAAAGCGTTGCAAACAAACAAACTCTCTTTCGGATTTATAATATTAGTAAGGATGCCACGCCCCCTTTTCTAATCGAGATTAAATGTATTCTATATTTTAAGTTGGGCTAAATGACAGGAGTGTACAAAATTTCATGATAATCGGTTGAGTAGTTAAAGTGTGAAAGCGTAGCAAACAAACAAACTCACTTTCGGATTTATAATATTAGTGAGGATTATTATATTGAAGAAAAAATAGTGTATTAAGATGCAATCTTTCCTCTTTCTCTCTTTCTATTTCTATACTATTACTATTTCACGCTTTCTATACTAATTGTATACAAAGCTTGAAACATCAACAACTCGCTGCGTGTCCTTGTAAAACAACCATTCTCGAATATTTTCCATTAAATTTAGGTCCTCTATTCCTCGCGCATTAATTTCTGGACCAGCTCGAATTTTAAACAATTTTTGGGCCCATATTCGCTATTTGAAGTTCTTCATGACAATTTCTTCAAACTCTTAATGCACTAGTACGCTGCTCTAACTGTACTTTCTAAAGTGAATCAAACATTAATAGATTTTTCGTGTTTTTTAATATAAAGCCGAATAACAGAAATCATAATAATTTGGGGTGTGAAGCTTTTTCAAGGCAGAAACAGTGTTGCCAGAGAAAAATTTCGTTTGGAGCTAAAACGGCCGAAAGAAGAGCTAAAAAGAGCTAAATAATACTAATAGTAGCTAAAATGAAGAGCTATATTTTTTTAAAGTTGAGCATTTATTGACGTAAGGTTGTTTTTACATTTTCCGAAATTTTAATAAAAACAACGAATAAGATTAAGTTCTAAAAAAAAATTTTTAAGCAAAATAAGGTATTTATATTTCGAATTCGTTATAACACTTATAAAGAATGTACACGAAAAAAACTGGTCGCACATAACCAAGCATAGCTCGGTTAATCATAACATTAAAATAAAAATCGGTAGACACTTAAAAAGCTGGAAGCATTTTCCACCTTACTGCATCATTTCTTTTTAGTAACAAAAATCAGTGTAGAAACGAGGACCAAGAAAGAAATCGATCGCGAGTTAATATTGCGCAAAAAGCTGGAAAATCCCAGCATGTTCCATAACGACATCGCAAAAAAGCTAAAATTTCCAAAGTCTACCGTTACTTATGTGCTTAAAAAATACAATGAATGTTTATCTTTAAAAAGGAACCCTGGTAGTGGCAGAAAAAAAGGATTTGCTTGCGAAATTAAGGCAAAGGAAGTGTTATCTGCTTTTAAGAAAAATCCTGGACTTTCGGTAAGAGATGTCGGCAAAAAATTAAACATGTCGTCTTCGTATATACAAAAAGTATGCAAAACAGCAGGACTACGTTCTTACAAAGTGAATGCAGCACCTAATCGCAACGGTAAGCAAAATTTGTTGGCGAAACAACGTGCTCGGAAATTGTACGACAGTCTCATACAAAAATTTGGCTGTATTGTTATGGATGACGAATCGTACGTAAAAGCCGATTTTAAACAAATCCGGGGCCGCGAATTTCACACTGCAAATAAAAGAGGCAATGTTGCAGATAAATATAAAAACAAAAAGTTTGACAAATTTCCCAAAAAGTTTCTCATTTGGCAGGCAATTTGCCAATGCGGCTTCAAAAGTGATCCTTTTGTAAGCACTGGTACAATTAACCAAGAAATTTATGTTAAGGAGTGTCTGCAAAAGCGACTTTTACCTCTTATACGGCTTCATAAAGATCCAGTGCTTTTTTGGCCTGATCTCGCGATATGTCATTACGGAAAAATGGCTTTAGGATGGTAACATAGAAACAAAGTGTATTTTGTAGCAAAAGAGGTGAATCCACCTAATTGTCCAGAGCATCGGCCGATCGAAACCTACTGGGCCGTTATGAAATCCAAACTTCTTAAGACCCACAAAGCTGTAAAAAACGCACAACAATTCAAAAATAAATGGCAGCTGGTTTCCAAGGAAATCACTGAAACTTCTGTGCAAGGGCTAATGAAGGACATAAAGTCAAAATTGCGATCGTTTGCTTATTACAAGGAGAATTAACTCTTTTTTAACGAATTTCAATAAAACTAAGTTTAGATGTAAATATATGTAAATATCCTTGAATTCCATTAATATATTTATGTTTTAGAACGTTTTAACTGTGACCAGTTTTTTTCGTGTACATTCTTTATGTATGCACATACTTATATAAACTAGATAATGAACTAAAAACACTTTAGAAACTGTTAAAATCTGCAATTTCAGATATTTGAATTGACCATAAAAACTCGGGTTACGAATAATTATTTCGGAAAACTTTGACTTCCTTCCCTCCTTAAATGTAAAATGAGTAGGGTAAAACCTAAATCCGCGCGTTCAGAAAAACGATTTTCTTCTAATTAATTTTTGAATTCATTAACCTAGATCCATGAGTTTTTGGTGCAGTCTGTATCTTCCCGTGTACTGCCCGGTATAGCTTGTGTGCTCCCGCACACGTTGCATAAACTAATTGACTTGCCTGCCCATTTTCCATTTGCATCATTTTATGTAAAGTCATTCCTAACAACCAAGAATATCATTGTTTTATTTATAGTATTCAGCATATTGTATTTAATTGTGGATATAATTTCGCAAAACTCAAAGAAAAGTCACCGAGGTATAGATAAAAATAGTTTTAATACTGAGTAAACATTTACATCCAGATTGCGATGAATATTGAGAAAAGCTAACCCATTTTGTGCTCGTTCTCTGTCCATGCCTGCTCCTTAGTTGTATGAAAAAAAATTTTGTTAAGTTACAAAGCAAGACTCCCCCGAGAAATGTTCCTTTGTTCATAAAAACGTGCTCTGCAAAAAAACGGAAACGGAAAGACGGGCCTCGAAATGCCCCAAAGTTCAGCATAGTCATGCAATTTTGCCTGTAGTTCTGTGAGAAATTTAACATATTTTAATGGCACTTGAAGTAGTTTTGCCATCCGATGTAATATGGCTAACCAATTTTTGAACCTCACAACTTTTAAAGTTATTGAGGTTCTTTCCACGTAAAATTATAATTTTATACAAACTTAAAAAAAATCACTTTTATTGTAAATAATTAGCAAGAAGTGCGAAAAGTTTTTGCATTGTACGGTTTCCGCCATATTTCAACAATTTCTGATAAAAATGCGTAGCATATTCAAATGCCAAAGTTGTAGGCAACTTTTCTATTTTAGTTTTTGGTTCTCTGGTGCAAAATCTAATTTACGGTTAGTTTAGATGCCTTAGTTGAGACGCCATGTTGAATTTTTCAAAAGGCCTCACGGCTTTTTCCCAAATTTTTTTTTTAAAGATGGCGAAGTTTAAACTACTGTAGCTATTTTTGATATCGGGGGACAAAACTCCATCAAGTGCCATTTAAATACATATGTATATTAAACTTCCCACTGACTTATAGACAAAATATTGACCGCTTTGTGAAAAATTCCATGTATTTGCTGATTTTTAGGGCCTTGAGACGCGTCTTTCCGATATCCGATTTTAACAAATTTTTCGCAGGTGCTTATTTTTTAATGTTTAACACAGCCCAACAAAAATATAATAACATTTTGGTACTGCAAATGTTAAAGCTGTTTTTGGCAGATTTTTTTTGTGCTGATTACGAATCCGTAAGCACAAAGTTCCCACGAGGTCAAAGTCTCAAAAAAACGCGGTTTTTGCAATATTTTATAAGCTCTAGCAAAGAAAGAAAGATTTCCCTCCATAGGAGGGTTTAAACCCCCAACCCCACCCCCCTCGCGGCCGGGCCTGCTACATATGTACGTACAGATAGCACTATGCCACGTTTTAATGGGAATGCAACACAAATAATTGCATTTTGCATTTCGGATTCTTACCACTTTAATTTTTATTTTTCATTCTGCATTAGGTCCTTACATAGACAATTCTGGTTCCGGCTGTTTACAATCAACGTCCAACGATGTGTATCTGGCCAAGCGGCGCACTGCCAACCATCCGTGTCCGGTCTGCGGTAAGCATTACGTAAACGAGGGCTCCCTGCGCAAGCACTTGGCCTGCCATCCGGAGACAACACAGCTCACAAATAGCCTGCGCATGTGGCCGTGTTCGGTATGCCAGGCGGTGTTCACACACGAAAACGGTAAGCATAATTTAGTAAGATTATTTTCTAAACGCTCTGAGAAAAGAAGTAAGAAAAAAGTTATTCTTTTTTCCAGATACGAATAACTTCAATCTATTGTCTTTCCCTTTTATTCAGGTCTTCTCACACACATGGAACACATGCGCATGGATCCTAAGCATCAGTTTGCAGCGCAATATGTTTTATCACGAGCCGCGGCAGAGAGGCGTGAACGTGACTCCTTACTGGCAGCCACACTAGCCGCATCAGCTGGCTGTGGGCCGAGTAGTGGTGGTGGTAACGGCGGTGCAAGTTTGCTGCCATTGTTGGGCGATGGTGGTGGCTCGAATTCTTTGTGCCCGTCGCCTTCGGCCAACTCGGAATGCTCTTCGACGGGACGCTTGTCATCGTCTGCTGCCTCGGACCAGGGTAGTGGCATACACTTGCTAAACAATAATAATAACAATAACAATAACAATAACAATAACAATAACAACAACTGCAACAGCAACAAAATCAATGAGCTGCTTAGTCGCACAGGCAGTAATCCTCACCTGACCAGTCAGTATGGGGTTGGCGTCGACTCGGGCCTGCACGTGGCCAACCGTATGTCACTAATGGCAGCAGCATCAGCCGCAGCAGCCGCTGTGGCTGCATCGGCAAGTGGCGTGGGAGTGAGCGGCGGTGTAAACGTTGGTGGTGTGTCTGGCATGGGTATGACATCGCCGGTCGGCTGCGTCGACTCCACCAGATCAAGTGTGCAAGCTGCCGTTGTAAACTTGGCTGCAGCGATGCGCATCAACCAAGTCAGCCAGCAGCAAGTCGGCGGTGCTAATGTAGCCAGTGGTGGAGTTGGTATAGGCGGTGGTAGCAGTGGGTCTGCATCCAGCGCTGGCAATATGATTAGCAATATATCTAGTCAGCAGCTGCAATCGCAGCAGAATCAGCAGCAGCAGCAACAAACCCAGCAACAAGTATCCGCCATTGACAACAATCAAACGTCGAGCGCAACGCCGCTTTCGTCCAGTGGGCTCCGGGTACGTGCCACCTCACCGCGTACAGGAATGACGAACCTGCAGGCAGATGCATCTGCTGTTAGCGCGGTTGCGACAATGACTGCCATGCGCGACACCATGATGCGCTCCAGCATGGGTGTTGTAGACTCACTAAGCGGCATGCACCAGCAGCTTGACCAACATGCTCACGGTCATGTGCAGCACCACGCAACGACCAATCTGCAGACAACCCACGCCAATTACAACCAACACAGCATGCCATCAGCCAGCAGCGACCATCAAGTTCAACATCAGGCAACGGCGTCATTGGAAAATCCCGCCTCTCACCACCATCATCACCACCATCATCATCTCAACCAAATGCAGCAGCCACATTCCCCCGAAACAGCACTACGTATGCATCAACATGCCGAAGCCATACTTCGTTCACACACGGAGGCGGCCTTTCGTCTGGCGGCATCGGTGGCCGCGTCAAACAGTGTCATCGGCGGTGGCGGTTCGGGCTCACATACCTCCGTAACCGGCCCGAGTAACTTAATGTCCGCTGGTAGTAGCGAAAGCGCGGCAACGCAAAACAACTCCTCGATTCAGGTCAAAGCGGAAGCACATCAAACGCAGCATCAGCAACAACTCGACAGTGACGCGGCGATGCAACATCAAGAGCAACAACAGCACCAGCTCACAACGTCGCAACAACAACAGAAACTAAATGCTGCCGGCAGCTTACAGCAATCAACGGCCCCAGCGTCGCAACAGTCACAGCTGACCTCCGATCTTAGCGAGGCAATACGCCTGCAGGAGCACCGCCTGGAACAAGCGCTTCGTTTGCACAACGACGCGCGTGCACTCAACTTTCTCACTGTCGCCAACTCTGCGACAGCGACGACTAACAGTGCAGTGCTACACCACCATCAACAACAGCAGCAACAAACTTCCGCAGCCCAACATCATAGCAATGCGTGAGAACCACTCATGAGCGATAAACTAAAGATCGCCTAGATAACACCGAACGCAAAGCTAAGCTCACAGAACGCAAGTACACGGCAAAGACGGTCAAAACACCAACAAACGTAACTTAAATTAATTGAAACGAACCAATTCGTATACGGTTTTGAACATAATGAAAATAGTTCAACGCAATCCGAATATAAGTAGCAATGTGGTTCATTACTAGAAAAATCTATGCATTCTTAATTAATTGTTAAGTAATAAGACGAAACAGGAGAACAAGAACTCTAAGTAAACTCAAATTGTTAACATCAGAACGCCCATACAACTATATTGATGAGTATGCAAAATACTCAAAGCGTCGTAAATATTTAAAAAAAAAAAGGCAAGAGCCTCACCAGATATCCATTTACACGTATAATTGACATGATTTGGGACAGTAATTTTAAAGATTCGAAGCAGAATTAAGAATACACGATCAACGCGTATGTGATATTAACTCCTGCAATAAGCATCAAGAAGGATAGAATACAATATTCCGGCAATTGAGAGATTAGCCCGGTGTGATGCCACTAAATAAGTGATGCTCAAAACAGCGCCCGCGGGCGGAACTCTCCAAAGCCCTCTATAGTTTTTATATGGGCGCGCACAGAGTAAAAGCACTCTCCGAGCATCACTGCACTAAATACTTAGAATGAGAGAGTTTGAAGAAAGAAAACAAAACTATGCAATGTGAAAAATGTATCTTATGACGTGTCAGAATGGTAGATGTTGTCAAATCGACAAATAGAGGGTTAGCGGTACGCGATCGGCCCACCTTTGCATCTCTAATTCTTAGAGGTACACGGAGTGATACCTATGAGATACTAACTCTCGCGATACTATCAATAGCGATGCATTTGGGCCCACAAACTATACATATCGTCGTTTAAAGTACAAAACTGGGTAAACCGCGTAACTGACATTTGCTGCCAAAAATTGGATTTGCTCACACAAACTCTTGGCTCAATCCTTATCCATTCGTCCTGAAATATACGAGCCAGAAATGCGTTTGCGTTATAAAATAGAAACCCATTTTGAAATATGAGTGTTTTTGCTCTCTAAAAAATAATTTATGCAACCTCACATACGCGGTTTTGTTCTTTATATGACGATATGTAAGTGTATGTGTGTATTTGCGTTTTTACTCACGGTGACGCCGTTTTGGGTAGTATTCGTAGAACCTCACAAAAAGACAGGCAGATGACGTCGACGGCAGTGAGAGCGAGAATAGCAGTCAAGGCGAAAAGCTATGCTGAGTAAGGCAAAACAAATCAAAGACTAACCGCCCGGTTTCCAAAAAAATGGCCAAACTCATCACATATCGATTGATTTTACTGCTGAGCCTAAAACGTTGACGCGTAATATAAACATTGGTTCGGCGTTGTCACGCACTCGAATAAGTAATAGCAGTAACATAGAAAATTGTCGTTGTTAGAGCGCATTAAACCAATTTTTTTAGGCACACTTATAGGCGCAGTAGTTAAATCAATTGATATGCGATGAGTTTTGTTATAATCGTGAGAATACGGCGGTAGGAGACAATTAGACAGGGAAACAAAATTTAAAAATGTTATGTTGCCTAAAATATTACAGCCGATTCTTAAAGGATTTTTTCCGTAGAATCCGAATCTGACCCTAAGAGATATTAGATGGGCTCTATTTTTCGAGGAATGTAGGTTCATAGGTGCCGAAAAACGCGTTTTTGGACATGTTTGAGCCTCTATAAAATAATAAATTGATGCAATGTATCTGTCTGTGTGGGAGGATATGAAAGCCTAAACACTTCCCTTTAACACTCAAAATCAAAAAATATGGTTAACTGGCCTTTATCCACACTCGAGGTTTCATGGATTAATCACCAAATACCGATGGACACTAACTCTAGCAGTGGAAATGAAGATGAGGAAGACACCTTGAAACCCCAGTTGCTTGCAAACTAGAGCCAATTAAAAATTTTTAAGATCAGATGTGGGTTCTAGGGGGCAAATCCTATAAGGACCGGCTGTAATATTTTAGTCAACATAAATTTTGTTGCCCTGTGTTTTAGATGAAGGTTTGAGCTTCAATTTCAGCCTCTTTAGAAATTTCCAGCGCCTTAGATTAATTTAACACAACTGATCAAAAACGGGCAAAACAAGAGTTAAAAAAATCGTGCGTACTCGTATACAAAAACTGTTTCCAATTGCTTTCAGTGTTCGGATCATAATTTTTTGATTTTTAGTATTAAACGGCAGTGTTTAGGCTTTTATATCCTCCCACTCAGACAGATATATTGCATCAATGTATTGTTTTACAGAGGCTGAAAATTGTCCAAAAGCTCGTTTTTCGGCATCTTTAAACCTAGGTTGCTCCAAAAGTATAGCCAATCCAATATCTGTACGGTGAGATTCGGATTCTACGGGAAAAATTGAAATAATCGGATACAATATTTTACTCAGCAGAATTTGGGAAGTGTTATCATTAAGAGCACAACAACAACTGAAACAACGTTAGGGGGAACTTACGCGAACGTTGTCCCCTTGCATATATTGCACTTCAAGGATCGATAGAAATGTTTGAACAAACTAAAAAGATCTTAAATTGTATGTATATCAATAATTTTTTAATGAGTGGGATCACTACTATTCTTCGGTTGGGGACTGCGGTAGCCGTTTGGGTAGAGGTGCCACACAGCGAGTGTCTATTTAGGTGTATCAATTGAAGCGATAGAAATAGTTGTTTCCCCTAAACGAGCGGTTTCCGACAGGTAGTTGTAATCCTCCGATGGCATGTCTGCCATGATACAGTTTCTTCCAAAACCCAACTACCATTCGGTGGCAACGCATTTTCACGGTGTTAGCAGTTTATCTGGAAGTTATATCCCTTAAAGCATAGACGGGTAACGTTCTCGATACGGGCTAACAGCGCAATTAACCATATGAGAATTATACCCTGACAGATAGTAGTATACCGCATTAAGCGAGCTTGAACACCTTCTTCTTTTTTAATACCTATTTTATTTTGTTACGTGGACATATATTTGGACTTGGTTCAAAAAAAAATGAATAAATAAAACATATTGAATAAACAACCTTTTCTATATTTTCCGGACGTTGCCAAATTAATGTCATTTATAAATAAAACCGGTTCGATCCGAGTTTTAACTGAATGTAGTAGTGTAAGTATAAGTTGCAATACTTTGGACTGATTTGAAATATTCCTCTTTAGAAAAAATAGTCAATTAATTTTCGAATGTTTTACCACTGTAAACAATTTTTTTTTCTCATGAATTCTAGAAAAGCAAAAGCATATTGATTGAACATAAACCGAATATACACAGCTTATTTTTGAAATACTAGAGGGGTATATGTGATATAGCCCCAAGTGGCATAATAACTCAAATTTTAAAATTTGAGATTATGTCACTCCTTGTATAGTGACAAAACCCTAATTTTTTGTAAACCAAAAGAATTTGGAATGTGCAAGAGAAATTACCAAAGGGATTTTTATCAAAGAATATCATGGAAGCCGGCTTTGCCTACATTATTTTCTTTTCAACGCCTATAGCTGAGAATCTTTTTACTAGACACGACGTTTTCTATGGTTCCACGATGTGGATACAAGCAACGGTTTATTATATACATCGGACACGAAAATCACGTTAGTTATTGGTTTTATATCAAAAAAAGTGCCGCAGGCGAAAATTTGTAATAAAAAATCGCGCGATTTTATGTTCTCAATTTTCACATTATATATACATATTAAAATATTCTTTTATATTAAAAAAGCGCGAAATTTAATATCAACAATTTCCTGTTTTTAAGTTTAGTTTCCAGCTGAAGATATATTACAAGAAATATTTCTCATTGTTTCTCTCCCTTCAAAATATTCTTTACCCTGCTGTAAAATTTCTTGAACAAATATTTGCATATATATATTTCTAGAGAACTGTAAATGGACCAACAAATTTTTAAAGAAAATTTGTTTTTAATTTCTTGAGCGTGTTTTTATACCCGAGCGTACTTGTGCACATGGGTATTATTACTTTGTTCGCATAACGCATATAGACAAATGTACACATAAATGCTCAGAATGAAAAAAGAAATCGATTAAGCCATGTCTATCCGTCTGTCTGTACGTGTACACGATAACTCGAGCAAAAATTGAGATATGTCAACGAAATTTGGTAAGCAGGTTGCCCTTTATCCAAGGTAGGTTGGGATGGCAAAATGGGGAAATGGGCAAAATCAGGCAATAACCACGCCCACCTCCCATATAACTTTATTTTCGAAATATGCAAAAACTAAGATATTTCCGCAAATACTGGATCAAAATTGTTGAAAGTTGGTATTTGAAGTAGAATTTTGGCATAAAATAAGATAGTTATGAAATTTTTGTTTAAATGGGCGTGGTCCCGCCCCCTTATGATGAAATGCTATATCTCAGTATAACCTTCACCAATCTCCACCAAACTCGGAGCGAGCATTGCTTAGGGCCACACTAAGAAACCCGTTGAAAATTTTTGAAATCAGACAAGAACAAGGCCCAGCACCTATATAACGATAATTTACAGATGTACGAAAACTGCGATAAATTATCGCAAATTGATATATGCAATGACCTCTTATCAGAAATTATATTTAGGCAAATTTTTAGAAAAATGGGCGTGGCACCGCCCACTTACGCCTACATATGTGTATCTCGGTACCCGGTTTATCAATTTCTACTATACTCGGCACATTTAGCAACCTGGGCGCAAAAAACAATATGTTGAAAATTTCTGAAATCGGACTAAAACTACTGCCACTTTCCACACAATGGCGTAGCCAGGATTTGGCTTTGGGGGGGGAGGATGAAAAAAAAATGTCCATCGATAACTTAAATCTGTGACACACAATGGCTAGAGGCGTCGCCTGAGTGCTTTCTTTCATATATTTCATATATTTATTTATGTGCCAGTTTTACCGTTATATATTTTTTCTACTCGTGTATTCCATGGGGTCTTCATGCTTTATTTAAATTTAAAAAATTAAATTACTATACCGTTTTAAAAATCTGAAAATTCACTGCGGGAAATTTTTTTACTCCCTTTTTGTCTTCGCCTTTTTGTTTTTGCCTTTATAAGTTTTGTAAAAAGTTTTTGAACGAACCATTATATCACATTCCTAGGCAAGTTTTGAAAGAATATTTTCGATACTAAATTTTATTAAAACAAAATGTCGAAATCAGCTTCATATAGAAACAGTGCCATCGTTAATTAAGAAATGGATGTTCTTAAATATCATAACTTTACAACACTCACATATTGACTAGATTTGACTATTTATTTTATTATATTTTAATTTGAATTATTTGTTTATAAAAATATAGTTTATTCCTTAACAAACACTAAATGAAAATAAGTTTAATCTTTGAACAACATTAAAAAAAAATCTAGAAACTTTTGTAAAAATTTCTAACTTTCTATCTCAATTTTATCTCTTAATATTTTGCAGTTTTTTAGCTCATTGAATTTTAGTCTAATAAAGTGCAAATTTAAAGTAACTGTGATTTACAGTTGATGTATGGCATATTTTTGACGATGTCGGTAACATTCTTCCATATTATCTAATTATGTTCGACGACTTTTTTAATGAAGAAATTGAGCCTTCATCAAACAAAAAAAATATTAAAAATCAACGATAAGTCGCAGCTATGTATTTTAAACTTGCGCTTTATTTGAATTGATCGGGCTACAAAACTGCATACTCAAAATATGTATTTCTAGGAAGTCTAATTAAAAAGCTTTATGAAAGTTTGTTGATTTTTTTAATGTTGCGCAAAGATTAAACTTTTCACTTATAAGGGATTTGTTAAAGTGTAAACTGCATTTTTATGAACAAATAATTAAAATTATATAATTTTAAAATAAATGGCGAATCTAGTTAACATGCATACAGTTTTGATAAGCACTTGAAATGTCAAGTTTTAGTACTGAATTCAAAGAAGATGTCTCTTTTATCCATTCATAATTACTTTAAAAAAATTTGTTTGTTAAGAAGTG